ACTATCATTAGGGCTCTTCATATTGGTATATGACCAACATAAATTCTGTCAGGTTTGTAGGTGATCCATTGGTTTAAAATGCTATAGCACTTAGTGGGCTTGCACTGTGTTCTATAGTATAGCACATTCTTATTGCTTCTGTGCATCCAATAATGACGAATCCACACTAGCATTTTACTGTGAGATATGGTGAAAAGTAATTTTTCTGTATTATGTTCAGTGTGTTGCTATTCATTCCAAATTACACCACACACACACATACAAAATATGCACCTGTACTATACTGCACCAGTGAATTGCATTGAGGTGTACTGCATTGTCAAAAAATAGTGCAGGAGCACTTTTTCATGCGTTGAAAGGCTAAAAAAATGGGTTGTTGTAGCTAAAAGGTATGAATGCATGAAAACATGTGTTATTGCACGGGCCATGAAAAAAGCAGCCAAAAGAAATAAGATTACGGTAATATGAGCAGTGTGGTGGCTAAGAGGTTAGAACTCTTGTCTTGCAGTGCTGACACTGGGACACTGTCTGCATGAAATATATATATAGAATACAAATAAACAAAAATCAGGCTGATTAAAAAGAAAAGTTTCCTCAACATCCCAGGTGTTTTTTTTTTTGTTTTTTTTACTTTGTAAAAACTAGGTATATGTTTATAAGTTTTGACACACTGTAATGTAATTGTTTGTATGATGAACCTTCACAGTAATCTGTTTAGAACTGTATATAATAATTGATATGAGCATATTCTAACAAATGTAACCCCATTTTACCTTGCTTTTAGCAATGAGTACATATTTAAAACTGCTATTTTAGTCATTTTTTCCTACTTTTTCTATTTCTAAAATCCTTATTTTTTTATTCCATAAAATGAATGAAAATGCAAAAGCATGAAAGGAGATGCAAGACACAAAAAGAGAGCGGCAGAGGAGCAAGTAATTTACACAGATTGTTTAGGTAAGAAAAATGGAACCAGGAGGGAGGGTGAAAGAGGAAGTGCATATCATAGGTCTCTAGAGAATAGCAATGGTACTCGTTAGTAAATGCCCCGTTAGCATTACTAAACACATTTAAAGAACAGAGGTAACAGCAGGAGCTGGGAGGGGGAGTGCAGGCCCAGATGTAATAGTCTTGGAAGGTCTGGAGAGACTCAGAAAACAAATTGAGATTTGAATCTACGACTGTCTCTTCATCTCACCTCCTTGTGGTCAACAATTTAAGGTACCCGTGAACATGAGATGGCAGTCATCCAATCTGCCTGTTTTTAGTTGGATCGGGTGACAACCTCATGTTTGTAGGTATCTACAGTCAATGCCAGTTGATATTTTTGGGGGCATACACAGCTTAGATCAATTGTAAATGGTGTTTTAACATCGTTAAAATTAAGGATGCACCGTTACCGTTTTTGCGGTATCGAGTACCAATATTTTGCCTTTCGTACTCGCCGATACCGAGTACCTATTCCAGTGCTTCCACTTGCATGGAGTCAGCTTTCCGGGTTATGAGGATAGCCAGATGGTAGGTTTTATTATTATTACCGTATACGGGATTTATATAGTGCCAACAGTTTGTGCAGCGCTTTACAATATAAGGAAGACATTACAATCACAATACAATTCAAGACAAGATGGTAAGGAGGGCCCTGCCCCTGAGGGCTTACAGTCTAAAGGAAGGGGGAAGTGATACATGAGGAGTTAGCTGTGTGGGCTGTGTGAATTGTTTGAGAAAGTGATAGTTCAGTGGTTAGGTTGAGGTGAGATAGGCTTCCCTGAAGAGATGAGTCTTAAGGGATCGCCTAAAGGCAGTCCGAGTGGGAGTAAGACGGACAGGTTGGGGTAAGGAGTTCCAAAGAATGGGGGAGACTTTAGAGAAGTCCTAGAGGCAAACATAGGAGGAGCTGACTAGGGAGCTAGAGAGCAGGAGGTCTTGGGAGGAGCATAGGGGACGGTTAGGGTGATACTTTGAGACCAGGTTTGAGATATAGCCAGGGGCAGAGTTGTGGATGGCTTTGTAACAGGGGGGTTGCAGACACTGAGCGGTTGGTTAGGTGGATAAGTCTAGAAGTTGCATTCATGATAGACTGAAGAGGGGATAGCCTGTTTAGAGGTAGGCCAATGAGGAGGGAGTTGCAATAGTCGAGACGAGAGATAATAAGGGAGTATATGAGTAATTTTGTGGTTTAATTGGTGAGGAAGGGGTGTATTTTGGAGATGTTACGAAGGTGAAGATGGCAGGATTTGGCTAGTGATTGGATGTGGGGAAGAAAGGTGAGTCGAGGATGACACCTAGCACCTTATATAAGGACACTGAGGGGGTGAGTTGTGGAGTAGAAAGATATATTTGAGTGTCATCGGCTTAGAGATTGGAAGCCATGTGAGGTGATCAACTGACCAAGAGAGGAAGTGTAGCTAGAGAAGAGAAGGGGTCCAAGGACAGAGCCTTGGGGGACCCCTACAGAAGGAGGAGAGGAGGAGTTAGATTTGTAGGTGACACTAAAGGAGCGCTTAGATAGGTATGAGGAGAATCATGAGAGAGCAGAGTCTTGTAGGCCAAGCGAGTGGAGTATTTTGAGGAGCAGTGGGTGTTCAACTGTCAAAAGCGGCAGAGAGGTCTAATGACATGCCGCCCGGGTTCCTGATTGCCCGGGAAACTGGCTCCATGTTGTTTGGCCAGCTTGATTGTGATTGCCCGGTATACCGGCTTCCCAGCCAATCAGCATCGAGCCGGCTTCCCATCCAATCAGGAAGCAGGTCATTACTCGCCAGCCGGCTTCCTGATTGCCCGGGAAGCCATCTCCATGTTACCCTACGGCACTGCCGGTCAGAGGAAAATTTCCTCTGACCGAAAGTTCCGGTAAAGGTATCGGAGTATTTGGACGAGTACGAGTATTCACCCAAATAATCGGTATCGGGGCATCCCTAGTTAAAACCCCATCTACGGTTGTTCTAGGCTGTGTATCATATTTCTGGGGGTGTTGTGCTTGGTACTTGGGATACCACATAGTTTGTGGTGTACCACTCTATGGGGGCCATACACAGCTTAGAACAATTGTAAATGGGGTTTTAAAGGTCACCATCACCCCATAGTTTGTTTTGTACCACTCTAACATTTTTAGGGGGATATAATGATCAGGTTATAACACCTTCCCCAGTCATTATTGTTTCACCTGCAAATGCCAGCATCAGAGGCTTCTGAGTGTAAACCTTCCCCACACCTCTCCAGTGTATAAGACAGTATGCTCAGACAAGCCAAGTGCTCATGTTTATGCAGTAGACATGTGCACTGCCAATGGGTGAATGCATCAGAGATTGGGTGAATGCATCAGAGATTGGGTGAATGCATCAGAGATTGGGTGAATATAGCAGTCAGAGCTGTGGAGTTTTTTTTAAGATGCTAGGGACTGATGTTTTCTTTTTTTTTGCCCAAACTATAGTTGGGCTTATAGTTACTGGGTCAGCATCGCAGTCAGGCAACTGGCATTTTAAGACGGAGGTCAGTTGTAACAGCCCCCTTTATTCCTTTGGTTAGTCTACTATAAAGGAAACCCTTCCTTCTGAAAATAGCACTTTCATGGTTGCCATGCTTTTCCCTCTGGTGCCAGTACTTTTTGAGTCCCTGAACAGAAGCTGTATATAGAACACTTATTCCACTTTCACTATACGCATTCTTGCCCGACTCACTCATTTAGAAAGTGCTAAAGACATAGTCAATCAGGCAATTTGCATTTCACTAGGAGATCAGCAGTGACAAACCTATTACTACAGAACAAATGATAAAGCTCTACTTCAGGACAAGCAAATATTATCTACTACAAGAGGCAGCTGCATTCTAACATGGGTCTTGGCATGCTTTGTGTATTTCTTCCAGACCTGTGCAGTCATCCAGAGTGAAATCTGGAGCTTCCTGTCATAAAGACCAGTCACTGCTGTTCTCTCTTCATGTGCAGGGTGACAGGTCTTGTATCCGCCCACTCTTGTATTTCTCTGCAGGCAGCATGTAGTGGGTGGGATCTTCTGTGTCCCTCTTTCAGCTGTATAGGTTATGTACAGCACAGTGATGATGTCACTGCTGCGTTCAGAAGATAGCATCCGAGTTTGCCAAGGTGTTTTGTGCAAACAAAGTGGATTTTTAGCCTTTGTGGCTATTAAATAATATAAAAAGAACATCAGGAAATATAAAATGCCATATCTCTGCACAGTTATCTGTGCGGAGATATGGCAAACTACCCTTCCTAGCTGGTGGCGAGCTGTGGGTATAGCCACAACCACTTGATTGCCCTGTATCTGGCCGCTCATCAATAGATGCCCATTGGGCTGGCAGCAGAAAGGAGTCAGCGTGGGCAGCTGGCACTGCCAGATCTTCGCACTGAGGCGCCCTGTGTTCAGCTAGAATATTGGAAGTAAAAGCCATCTCTCTTGGCATCCTACCATTTACTAAAGATGGTCCTAATTCTTTATGGGCACCGCTTTTCTTTTCACACAGCTCCATCATGGTGCTGAGCCGGGGCATGACAAAGTAAAATCGGCGCTGCCACTGTGATCTGCGTGCACTAGCAGAAGCTGAGCATTGTTGTAGAGAGGAAAAAACCCCAAAAGACTAGAGGAAGGAAGATGGGGGTGGGGTGGAGGTGATGTAGACGAAGATAGTAAAGTGACAGAGGCACGTGGCTGGCATAGGGTGCTGGATCGGTGACCGTTCCTGGAAGATCTCGCAGGGATCGGAGAGGGGGGTGGTCTCTTCAATAAGGAGGGCTTGGTAGACGGGACAGTGGGGATCTAACAGGAGAGAACATTGCTAGTCGGGGCATTGGCATGCCAAGCAGCTGCGGGCTCTGCTTTCCAGCTGGCACTCCGCAAACTTTCTTCTTCTTTATTTTACTGTAATGGAAGCGAAAGTTTCCCCAAGACAACTCCATCCGAAGCCTGCTACTTCTGCTGTCGGCCGGCGCTAGCTCGCCATCCCTGGACCGTCTTCTCCTTGGAATGAGCTGAAAGCCCTCGAGGGATCATGACAGTGGGGGCACAGCCCCAGGCAGACAATGGCCGGGTGCCGTCCTTGTCCCTGGCACCCGTCCCCGGCCAGGACAGCGGCATGGAGTTCGTGGCACTGACAGCGGTGCAGACTGACAGCGGCATTCCCCGGCGCCTGGGGCTCCTGGGCACCCCTCTGCCGGGGCCACCGCGGAGCTCAGCATCGCACAAGAGGTACCGCAGGCTGCAGAACTATCTGTACAACGTGCTGGAGAGACCCCGAGGATGGGCCTTCGTTTACCATGCCTTCATGTGAGTACTGACACCCATGCCTTCCACTGCCCCGCTGACCATACACTCGGCAATCTGCTATAAGGTGACCATACATTATACAATCTGGTTTAAGGTGACCATACACTGGACAATCTGGTTTAAGGTGACCATACACTGGACAATCTGGTTTAAGGTGACCATACACTGGACAATCTGGTTTAAGGTGACCATACACTAAACAATTTGGTTTCAGATGATCATACAATCTGGTTTAAGATGACCATACAGAGTACAATTTGGTTTAAGATGACCATACACAGTACAGTCTGGTTTAAGCTGGCTATTTATCAAAACTGGAGCAGACAGAATCTGGAGCAGTTGCCCATGGCAACCAATCAGCTTCTATCTTTTCATTTTCAAAGCTTAACTGAACAAACTGAAGAGAGAAGCTGATTGGTTACTATGGTACTATGATAATTCCCCCCCCCCCCCCAAATCTATTTTATATCTACCATCAACTATGTAGTACAAGGGCCTGCCTGATTTAATACAAACTGAATGTCTTGTTTACATCTGACCTCATACTACATCGTTTTGGTAGATCTAAGGGAGATTGTACAGAGATTGCAAATGTATGACCAGCTTTTGATCTAAATCTAACGATGTACTGTAAAAGCCTGCCTGATTTGGTAGTAATTGAATGGATTGTTTAGGTTTGTCCCTCTATGACAAGGTTTTGGTAGGTTTTGCTCACTCTCTCAATCTCCTCTAGACCTACCAGTAAGAGTCTAATGCAAGGGGCCTGCCTGATTGGATAGTTTAAGCGGGTGCTTGTATTGCATAGTTGTGGTTGCTTTGTATCGTGTATGGTGACACTAAAGGGGATTGTACTATCCCATCAGATTGTATAGTGTATGGGCAGTTTTATAGCAGCAGCTTATGTGCAGTGTGCTGGTTAAGTCCTATACGCTGCTATATATAACATGGGGCTGCCTATCTATCTCTCACTGCAGAAGTAGCATTGTAGGCACACAAGTATATCTAGATGTCCCATTCATCTATCATACAACACAACCATCCTCATGTTTCAGGAGAAGCAAAAGAAAACGGTTTCTAAAAAAAACAAAAGACTGCCGTTCCCTTAAGAAGCAGCGCAGATGCTGTGGAAGTAAAGGGGTCAATGTAAATTTGATTGCTGTACTATTTCTGCTCTGCAAACTATAGCGATGGGTCTGTGCTGTGGGGAGAGATTCTGAAAATCAGCCTGCCTGGTTTTCTGGGATCTGTAATATTGCCAGGGTTGCCATGGCATTTACGAGTGCACTCGGTGTTTAGTTAAAGGACATTTCTCATGATATATGCTATTTATTATTCAGGCGATGGATAAAGGAAGCCATTCATATGAATGCCCTAGTTTGAACACTTCCACGGATGACATTTTTTAAAAAAAAAAAAAAAAAAAGTCACTTGTTTAGCTTGAGGATCTCTCTTCATACCATAGAAGAGCTTGTTTTGGGATTTATGACGTTTTGGACGAGTGTTCCTTCCTCGCGGCCTGAAAGTAAACCCTGATCTGATCTGTATACATAGGTAAGCAAGCGCTAACCCACTGTAACCATCGCAGGTCAGCTTCTTGACTGTCTATGCTAAGCAGATGGAAGATGATTCCTAATTGGTTCACAGGCTTTACGATAAATGATTCCATTGACATCATCAGGTGTAGGAAACCTCGGCACACCAGCTGCTGTGGAACTACACGTCCCATGAGGCATTGCAAAACTCCAACATCCACAGGCGTGACTCCCAGAGACAGATGCATAATGGCATTTGTAGTTTTATAACAACTGGAGTGCCGACGATGCATACCCCAGTGCTATTAAATCTGGACAGATCCCGGGAGGCAGGTTGCCAATTCTTCTTATAATTACAACTGGTTCCCAACTTTTAAGGTTTTCACTAGTTGTCAATGGACCTGGCTTCTGGATTGGACAGACTGGCACCTGAATTCTATATTAGTTTGTCCACCCCTGAATTACATAAACTATTTTCAATATTGTCTTTGCTTGTTTGTACTGCACTGTGATATAGGGCACTGCTGGACAAATCCCATGAGCCATGTAGCTAATGCCCCTTAAAAATGACAGCTGGTGCTGAACTTTTGAGGTTTTCTCAAGTTGTTGTCAATGGACCTGGCTCCTGGATTGGACAGAGTGACTCCTGAATTCCATATCAATTTGGCCACCTAAACCATTTTTAATATTTTCTACCCTTGTTTGTGCCACATTGTACTGCACTATGAGCTTGATCAGGGCTGACAAATCCCTGGAGCCAGGTAGCCAATGCTGCTTAACAATTACAGCTAGTGCCCAACTTTTAAGGTTTTCTCTAGTTGTTGTCATGGTACCTGGATCCTGAAAAAAAAATCTTGCTAGCTGCTGGATTGGCAGACTGGCTCCCGAATGCCATGTCCACCCCTGAATTAACTAAACCATTTTCAATATTTTCTACCCTTGTTTGTATTGCACTATGAGATAATTCTTTAATATTGATTGGACCATGGGCAAACATTTTTTCGGGCTTTCCCCCACCCCTACCCACCACGCCCCGCCCCATACCATGCGATAGGAGCAAATACGAGAAGACGTCTCAAATGGAGACGCGACACCACGTAAGACATGACCCCGCATGAGATGTCACAAGGTCACGCTACACAGCGTACGGCAGGGGCAGAACAACAGTATGTGATGCTGATTGCGTATTAAACAGAACGGTACCCATGTGTATCTTTTGCTGGCTCAAGGGGCAGCTGCTTTGAGCCCCACAGCAATGACTGGGCTTGGGGCAACTGCCCCGTTTGCCCCGCATTAAAGACGGCTCGGAAGGGCAGCGTTGGACAAATCCCAGGAGCCAGAAAGCCAATGCTCCTTAAAAAGGACATCTGGTGCCCAACTTTTGAGATTTCCTTGAGTTGTTGGTCTGGATTGTACAGACTGGCTCCTAAATTCCACATTAATTTGTGCACTCCTGAATTAAATAAGCCATGTTCAATATCTTCTACCCATGTTTGATCCACTTTATACTGCACTATGAGATAGACCAGCGAAGGACAAATAGTGGGAGCCAGGTAGCCAATGCTCCCGAAAAATTCTAGCTGGTGCCCAATGTTTGAGGTTTTCCCTAGCTGTTGTCAACGGCTCTAGCTCCTAAAAAAATCTGCTGGCTGCTGGATTGGACAGACTGGCTCCTGAATTCCATATTAATGTGTCCGCCCCTGAGATAGGGTGATCCTAATACCACAGAAGACAAGGAAGTGCCATAGAAAGGAAACGTTACCAAAAATTTAATATAAGAGATGTTTAGATCAGTAAATTTTATCCTTTTATCCTTTCCTTTTTTTTTTTTTTACTATGGACCAAATCCTGTACCCAAGCCCCCAGGACTGTTACCTATACCTGTCCTGCTGGGAGCCAGTGGATTGATGTGCCTGTACTGCTCCATCCCACTTACAGGTCTGACATGCTGGGGAGGAGTGGTCACATACAACTCCTAACATTTGAATTATTCCACGTGTATGACTGTTAGCAGCATGGGAAACCCCCATAGACAGTTTTATTAAACCGAAACAGATGGAGTTTTTCTGATTACATTGTGTTAATTATGTTTTGGGTTCAGATGCAAATAGTGCTGCGCAGAAGGTGTTCTTTAATATAAACAACAATATTATTATTATAATATGTATGTAGCTATTACTGTTATTTTTCTGCATATGTGTTTATTTGTACAATGTTGTTACAACACTATTACATTGTGTTTTATTTATTGCCTGGTTATTGTTGTCAAGCTTGTATATTTTACATGTAACGCTTCAAGGGTTTGCTTTAGAGACCCAGTTTAACCCTACACTGTAGATGTGTATCAGAATGGTGCAATTCAGCTCTGCCCCCACCTACTCCGGGAACACGACCTGTCATAAACAGCTTGTGTGAGACTTAATTTGAAAGGTTATAGTATTGTGGTTCTCTGGTTTTGAGTCATGTTCTCTTGTGACATACATAAATAGACTGTGCTTGGTTAAACTAGCCAGTGATCCCACCATAAAAATGACAAGAATGTTTTGGAGTGTCCCAAAGGCTGTAGCAAGGGATGCTGAAATCAGCAACAATGCTCATTATGTTGTTGCTGATTTATATAACCCTGGGCAGGAATTATTGCCATAACAACCAATCAGATTTCAGCGTTCATTTTGTTAGTGTGAGAAATGCTGCAATTGTTAATAGATCTACTTCTGTGCCTATAGCTCTCTTTATAACCTCTGATAGAGCATAGCTATAACTATACATATTAGGTAGTGTTGAGAAGCAGGAAAGGATATGCAATATTTATGGCACCATATAACAGAATATACAGTATGTTTAAAAAGGATGTATTTAATGCACTTGTGAAAGGTTACACGCATCTTGGGAAAAAGATATAGTGCATATACGATGTGTTCAGTCAGCATACACATCCCATTGTCAACACAACGGTGCATACTGTGCATACTGTGCATACTGTTCTGTCATATACTTTTTTTTATATCAAATAATCTCAAATATCTCTAAAACATACTACCAAGGTCTAAATTCTTCCTTTCATTATATCACAGCAGGACTACTATACCTAGAATTAGCTTTCCTTTCTGCATACTCGTTTTGCCTAGTTACTATCAGCAGGGCAATCCCCGCATTTTTCAAATGTTCCTGTTCCTCTATCTCCCGCAGAATGCCCTAGCAAGCAAAGAGCAGCACTGCTATTTTTTTCCTATAGCAGTGCTTTCTTCATATTACATCGTGGTGGTCTCCAACAGTCCAACAGTTCTGGGTTGTTTTCCAGTGGATAAAGCTTACACATATCTTCAAACCTGTTATTGAATTGCGGGGTCATGATTTTGGATGAACTATACTGATCACTTTCTGCTCAAATACCTCATTTTGGAGATCCATCCATTGATATATCTAAGAAACACCATTCCCCACAACTGATAAATCACATGTTGACAC